TTAACACTTTAGAGTTCATTAATTTCTTTATTATTTACAATTTCTTTTTACATCTCATAATCGCGTTTCTGAAATGCAATTGAGATCTTCAACTAAGTCCAAGAATGTTTCCTATGATGATGAATAATGTGGATCCAAATACATATCGTCGGTATGAACATACAAGGATTCAATATCCTTCTTCAAATATAACTATCAGAAGTCTATTATCTAATATTTCCAATGATATGTATAATCTGTTTAACATCTTATTGTTAATATAATGATTACCTTACAATCTGTATTTTAACATATATTACAATATATGGTGAGGCAATTATTGATATACTTGATGATCTTCTCATTACCAATTCAACAGATCCTATATTTGTATTAATTGAATTTGTCTATCCTTCAATTCTTGTAAATATCAAGAATTCATCTTATTTTTAGGAAAGAGCAATTTTTGCACCAAAACATGAAGTCGTTCATGAAATAAATGATCGTTTGTCATCATTGTTTCCAAGAGACGAAAAGGAGTACCTATGTTCAGATAACCTATGTGAATCAGAGCAGCTTCACAACCAGTTTGATAAAACTTTGTATTCACTTGATGTCTTCAATGGTCTTAAATTATCGGGTTTGCCAAACCATAAGATATTACTAAAAGTCAGTGTTCCACTTATGTTACTAAGGAATATTGATCAGAAATCTGGCTTATGTAATGAAAATAGACAACGGGTGTTATCAATGGGAAATCGGGTTATAGAAGCAAAGATCATATCTAGAAACAATATTGGAAATCGGACATTTATTCCAAGAATGTCTTTGACACCTACAGACAAAAAGATTCCATTCAAATTTCAAATAAGACTATTTTCAATTGTTGTATGTATTGCCATGACCATAAATAAAAGTCATGGACAATCATTATCGAAGGTTGGTTTGTTTCTGAGACAACTATTCTTCACCCATGGTCAATTGTATGTTGTTTTATCTAGAGTAAAAAGTAGGCAATATTTAAAAATATTAATTATAGATGATGATAGTATAATTAGCAATAGAACAAAAAATGTTGTATATAAGAAAGTATTTGGTAATTTATGATACGTGGTTCTTATTTTATTTATATGAAATTATGTACTTTCCCATAATTTCATTTACGTTCTTTTATAAATTTTGTTTTACAAATTCTTGATATTTATTCATATGTTTATTAGTTTTTTTACAAATCATAAAAACAATTCCGAAGGGAACAAAGGCACGGAAAAGTAGCATCATACTTTCAATTATCATTCATATCTATAACATAAGTTTTCTTGACATGATTTAATTTTTTTAAAATTACACCATGTAATACACAGGTTCGAACCTACTATATATATATATATATATATATTAAAGGAACAAGCAAAGGATAATGAGCTTTGAGTATTTATCAAATCTTGAAATGTGGTTGTAGGTTGGTTGTTTTCATCGTCCTTTTTACTATAAAAATCAAAATTTATCGTACACTTATTTCGTGCCCACTTAATTGCCTTTTTTTTTTTACTGTTTTAATAAAATTATATTTTAAAACAACGTTTATAAGTTGAATTAGAAACATAATTTTTATATACACACATCATAATAAAAAGCAGTGTCAATGTTATTATGTCATAAATAAATCAATCATCAATATCAATATATATATATATATATTAAAAGAGAAACCAAAGGTAAGTGATATAACAAAATGAGGATTGGGTTTTCAATATTAAAGGTGTTTGATTTTCATCATCTCATATTGGTGAATAGATTCAAAATTGGAAGTAGAGAGTCAATATATGAAATAAGAGTGTGTATTTTTATACCAAATCATGAGGATGGCTCAATTTGGCCCACTCTCTTTTTGCCAAAAAAAAATATTTATATACATAATTTACAAAATATTTTTGTATTAAGTAATAAAATTGATTCATTTTAACTTTCCTCTATTTTTGCAAAAAAATCTATTTATCTTAAAAATTCTTGTATATCAGTTGACTTTTATATCAGTTGGTTTTTTGTGTAGATCAAATATATTATATGTTCTTAGTTTGATATCTAATATATGATTCTTCAACTTACTTGGTATTTTATTTTTTGTAAGGGAATGCCGATTATACTACTTGTTTATCCATAGTCTTGGTGTTACCACTATCAAGACTTGACGCCCCTCTCTAATTTACAATTCAAATATTTTAAAATGTTATGGTAAAATGTAGTATTTGTTTTTATCAGTTTAATATCTGATATGTGGGCATCGACTCCACTTGATATTAAGTTTTATGGAGGAACATCTATTATCTTAGTTTGGTGATGTGGTTCTTCATGCATCGTCTTGAGCTTCCACTATTGTTGCTACAGATTACGCATCGCTCCAATTTTCACTAACATTATAGAATTTTTTTTAACTTCAATTGAGATTTCAATTAAATTTGTTATAAAATTAAAAATCGTGACTTTTTCACCTTAGATGAGATTTCAACTAAAACTGTGATTTCAAGTTAAACAAACTACTAACATTAGTCAAATATTTGTAAAGTACATTGCAACATCGTTCTCGAACATAGTTAGAGAACTTAAATTAGCATACAGTTATATGATTGTTGTCAACTTCTCTTAAAAACTTTTAATGTTAATGAGTAGTTGCCTCACACATTTTCCTAAAATTTGTTTAGAAGAGGACTTCAAATTTTAGATTATAACATTTCCCTCATTCAAATTGATTTTTTAACCATTTTCCTTCCGGGTTAACCCAAATATCACTATTTCCACAATATTCAGATCTGTAATAAATGCCAAAATAATTGAAATTCAACACAGATATGCAATTGTGACGACCATATCCGCAAGTGCGATGGCCAGATCCGGAATTACAATTGAACTGGTTGAATTTGACATTTTCTTTTGTCCTCTAGCTATTGCGGACCTGGATATTGTAAAAATAGTGACATTTAGGTCAAGCTAGAAGAGAAATGATTGAAAAACCAATTTGAATGAGAGAAATGGTAATTTGAGCTAATTTTTTATTTAAAAACCAAGAAATTGTTGTAGAAAAGACTCCAAAAAATTAAACTGTAACTTACATGTGTATATGGGTATAAACTACTATGCAAACCAATTCTTGTGCATATGTACATCGATGAATGGTTGTGGATGTAAGACTCTCTTTTATGTTTATACGTGTGTATATATACATACATATATATATATATATATATGTGTGTGTGTGTGTGTGTGTGTGTATGTTAATTAGAAAAGATTTTGGAGTGTCCAAAACACTAAGGGGGTGTTTGGCTCATAGAATGAAATTTGATGGAATTGGAATCCATCAAAGGAATTTGACTTTGAAAGAATTGGAATGGAATTTGATGGAATTTGACCATGCGTTTGGTTGGTAGGAATTGGAATGAAATCTCTCAATAGAATTGGAACAATCATCTTTGTATRGACTATCCCATCCATCGCCCCGTCCACACCCTACCAGCCACCATGTCACKGATATCGTCGTCACAACTATCACCCGCCCTGCCCCCACCACTTCTGCCCTACCCTGCTCCATAGGTGGGGATTGTTGCGGGCAGGCAGGGGTGGGGCRAGGCMGTGGGGGTGAAGCCAGAGTGGGGCAATAGGTGGCAGTGTGATAGTTGTGATGACTACAGTAGTAGGATGGTGGTTAGTGATGGGTTAGAGTAGGGTAAGGTAGGGTGGGGGCAAGGCAGGACGGTGGGGTGGGTAAGGGTAGGTGGCGGGGTGGTAGTTGTGATGATGCTAGTGGTGGGATAGTAGTCGGGTGACTGGGCTAGGGAGTGGGTGGGTATGACGACAATAATAGTGACATGGTGTTTAGTGGTGGGTTGGGGTTGGGGTAGGGTGGGGTGCGGGTGAATGGCGGTTGTGAAGGCGACAATAGTAGTGTGGGGGTGAACGGTTAGGTTAAGGGCGACATGGGCGGGGAGGTGGGGATCAGTGACAGTTGTGACGATGATAGTGGTGGGATGATGGTCAGGGTGATTGGGAGTGGGTGAGTATGATGACGAAAGTAGTGACATAGTGGCTAGTGGTGGTTAGGGTAGGGTGCGATAGGGTGAGTGGCAGTTGTGACGACGACAATAATGTTGTGGTGGTGGGGGTTAGGTTAGGGGTGTGACAGTAACGTTAGTAGCATAGTCGTAGTAGGGATGTGTAGTGAGTGACCGGAGGGTGGGTGGGTGTGATGACAACAGTAGTGGCATAGTGGTTAGGGTGGGGTAGGGTGGGTGACAGCAACATCAGTGGTGGGGGTTAAGGGTGGGGCATCATGAACAATAGTAGCATGATCGTGGTAGGTGGTGATGGAATTCAATTCCTTCCATTATGCCAACGAATGATGAATTCATTAACTTGTGGAATTCAATGGAATTTGAAAGATTCCATCCATATCAAGAAATGAACCAAACAAAGGAATTGAAATTTGGTCAAAAAAATTTGTCATTCCAATTCCATCAAATTCCTTTTAATTTCACGAACCAAACAGCCGCTAAGAATACAAAGACAACCAGAGAAGATGAGGATATGAGGTTTAATTAATGGTATAGACAGTGAGGAGCAATCAAACACCTATCCTCCCCTCTTTCTCTCTGTATATATATATATATATATATACATATATATAATCTCTCTATCTCCTACTCTCTCTGTCTCTCTCTCTCTCCCCACACACACATATATATATATATATATATGTATCATATATATAATCTCTCTCTGAAGCAGCTGTCAATTGTTACAACAAAGCCATAAACTCACCCCACCTCTCACTTCTGATATACAGCAAATAATAGTTTGCAAGTGTCGGATTCTCTCTCATCTCTCCCCACCACTCTTTTTCTAGTTTTTATTTTTATTAACACCCTTTTCATCAAACACCTTGTTAACCACCACACCACCACCAGAAACAATCTTATATTCATGGAGGTTGACGAGAGAGAGAGAGAAGAAGACACCTTTGATTCTGCATGAAATCTTGATCAAACAACTCCCAACTTGATTTCAGATATCAACAATGGCGTACCAACATTATCGATCTCCCTTTGGTGACACCACTTTAACTAAAGTGTTTGTAGGTGGACTTGCTTGGGAGACACAAACCGATGAAATGCGTACATATTTTCAACAGTTTGGTGACATTCTTGAAGCTGTCATCATCACTGATAAAATCACCGGCAAATCTAAGGGTTATGGATTTGTAAGTGTTTTCCATTTCATTTTTGATTCCTTTATTTCCATTTTTGTTATACACATGTCATTCAGTTAAGCACTGAATCGCACATATACGAATGTTAACTCCGTTGTTGATGAACAGGTGACTTATCGGGACCCTGAATCCGCAAAAAGGGCTTGTGACGATCCAAACCCTATGATCGATGGGCGGAGAGCCAATTGCAACATTGCATCACTCGGCCGACCTCGATCTTCTTCTCAAGGTTTTATATTGTATTTTTAACAGAAAAACCTACCTTATTCCATACGTATTTCCTTTTTTCTACTTTCGTAACTGTGTGTGGAATGATCAGAAACTCCATTAAAATAATAACAGTTATAAACCCAAGAAATAACCATACATTTATGTTTGAAACCCTAGGAAGGAATCAAGGTGGCAATATTGCGTTTCAAGGGACAAATACAATGGGCCAAGGTGCATCATCGTCATCTTATGGTGGAGTAGCACCACCGCTTGGTACTCCTCCGCCACCGCCGCCACCACCACCACCTTCCGTCATGTATCCGCCGTATGGGTGAGTTTTTTTTATTCGCTGTGTAAAATGGGTGAAAAAGTGAAGTCAAAAATCATTTATATATTCAAGGACAGTTGGTCTTGACAGAAGAGAAGTGGGTGTGGGGCATCTATATACACATAAATGAGTTGGCAACAGGAAAGTTTTCCAGTAGTTAAATGGCATACAGTGTTGACTTTATTAATTATGTGAAATTAAAATTAAAATAATATATAATAAATTAATTTTACCAAATTATTCTATAAATCATAATTAAGCTGAGTCATTAAATTGGTTCCCTTATTTATTTATAAACATTTGCATTTACAAAAATAACCTTGATCTAAGAAATCATAAGGGGCTGTTTATCTAAATGGTTACTTGATAAGCGCTTATCGTTAGGAGTCATAGGTAAGATTATAGTATATTAAAATGGTATCGTATGCAATAGTATACATGTTAAGCACTTAACCGGGTAAGAGTCGTCATATTCACTTACCGGGTAAGACTCTCAATCCTTATCATCGCTCTTATCAGGTAAGATTTTTTGGTCTTGTCATGTTTGTCCAGTGAAAAAAATTGCTGATAAACACCTATCGGATAAGCGTTTAGTAAACGGCCTTTTAGTCATTGAATGATTGATGATGATAACCCTAATGAACTTATTTGAGAGGTTGTTTGTTTATCTCTTAATAGTTCCATTAAGTGACAATCTCTGAATCGTTAAAAGATGAATCTTGTTTGACAAAAAAAAGAAGTCTGCCTCTTAATAGTTCTAAAATCATCTAAATGATTTTGTATCATGGGTCTCTCTTAACCATTAAAAACCCTAATTTTATTATAAAATATTAATAAACAATTATATTTTATTTTATACTATATCACGAGAGTCTTTTAATTATTTTGATCATTTAAATATAAAAGATATTTTAAATGTGTAACTTTATTGCCAAGTTGGCTGCCATACATAAAACTCCAGACAACCTTCAGCTTTTTCAGATTTTAAACGGTCCCATTTAGTTTTTTATTTTAATCCTAAACCAATAGCAATTTTATTTATATTTTTCATTTAGAAATATGTATATTTTTTTAGGAAAAATGACATAATTTAATTTTATTCCTATCAAATTCATTTTTTTATTTTTATTTTAAATTTACATTTTATTTCATAAATTTAATAAAAATTTCATATAAATGGAATTAAATACTATTTTAAGTCCATCAGATTTCAATTCAATTCGACATATTACATTTATTGCAAAAACATTATTGGAACCCGATTTTCTTTTTTATTATTTCGTTTTATTTCGAAATAATATTAATCTTGAATTATTTTGTTTATGCAGATACACGACTTACGCACCCGATTATGCTTATCAACAAGTAAGTCGTACATTATTTGAATCAAAATACTTTGTAAAATGTAAATAATAATAACCTCGTAAGGTAAAAATAGAATAAAATGGAACAATGGTGAAAATATTGTTGTTGAAAGGAGCCGTTGATTTAGGGATTCTAACGTAATGATGTATCACATAGCATATTAAATTAAATACTGTGATCTTTTTAGAACGAAAAAAGGTGATAGAACTAGTGCAGTTATCATTGTTTTCTCTTTGACTATATAATGATGTACTTGGTCTCCAAAACATTATGACATACATTACTGAATAATTCTTAAACTGATGTGATGTTTTGGAAAATCAGTGTTTTATTTGATTTTTTTTACTTTTTTGTGTACAATCTAATTTAAATTATTTAATATCATTGATTCATTGAGTAATAGTTATATATAATGATTTGTAAGTATATAATCTATTAAAAAAATGGATTAATTTATATTTTATATGCAATGGAAGTTTGTACATATAGAGTACTTTTTACAACCAATAGTGATTGAGAAAGTACAAGTCATAATAACATGGAATTGGATGGGAGTATGTTTTTAGCAGGCAATGTACAATCCAGCACTTCAGCAGCCATACTATCATCAAGTGTATGGGCCCACATCTCCAACAGTGTCCACACCTTATTATTATGGGTATTCCACCACCCAAGCACCCACACCACCCAGGGGAACATTTGCTGCTCAGGCGCAACGTATCCAAGGTCCCTCTTATCTTTACTATCCTACGCCTCAGATGGATCCCTCCACATTCCCCGGCTATGTTACGCCACCTTTACTTCTCCCCAGCAGGCATCCTTTTCCTTCTCCTTCCCCTACCCCTACCCCTACCGGTAAGTCCTACATTATCTTTTCATTTTATATTTTATTTAATTGTTTTCTAAATTAAATTTGTATTAATATCTTTTATTTATATAATAATTATCATCCGACAATCAGTGGCAGTCGTTAACGTAGTATTAGACATAGTACACTAGAATCTTCAAGTACCAACGTTTACTGTTTACTATTTACGAACAACTCGTGGGACCCATTTCATAGATATCATATATATATATATATATATATATATATATATATATATTATGCCATATATTTTCTGTATATGCACACATTCTAAATGGCAAAAAGATGATCGTCCATTTCTTCTTATCATACATGATTTATGCCCATGCAATGGAACACATACCATCATCATCATCATCATCATCATCATGCATCATGTTACCAATTAGTATGTGATGTTATGCATCAATTATGAATCGTAAATTCAATTATCAATAAAAGATGGATTGTAAGATACTAAAATCATGTACATTAAACATAGATATGTATGTGGTAATGGTGGGGTCCATAGGAGCCATGTGAGATGAGCTGTAAGGGGGTGATGGGGTCAATGGGAAAATGATGCCAGATGTACAAAATGAGTAAACCAAAAACAGTCAAATAGTTGTAATGCATGTGAATTCAAGATTCATGTGTCTGTATAGGATATGTGGGTGCAAGGGTAGATTTGTCTTTTTAACACCTTGGTGTTTATATCTTTCAAACTTGTGATTGTAGACTGATACATGTTCTATTTCCATTGTCTTCTTTTTAAAATTCTCAACGTCTTTTGCATTTTACTGTGAATAGAAAAGCTGAATTTCCTTTTGTACCCTTATGATCAATACATGCAACACACACACATATATATATATATACATATACATATGCAAACATATGTTTGCATGTTACCCACTTGTTTACAATGAGGAGTGACCACTTTCCAAGGAATAGTATTTGTCTGTTTTATCTCTGCATTATTGAGTTGTACATTGTAAGTGAATGGATAATGAATATGCATTATTGAGTGGTACATTTGCAAGTCAAAGTATAGATCTTTGACCATTGATAATGTACAATTTGCTTTCAGGTTCCCAGACTCCACAAAATACAACTGCTGAAACAGAAGGTGGTGCAGTAACTTCAGAGAGTCCAAACACCTAAAAGATGGTGGCCAAAAAAGAAAACAAAATACAAAATTGACAAAGTTTCATCAATGGTCCTTCAACTCTCTGTATTCTTCCATTTTTCTGAAAGAATCATAAATAATTTCTTTCTGGTCATAATGATGATCCATCTGCTGCTGATTATTCTTTATCCTCACATTGAGAGTAATAATTCTTTTACCCACTTTTTTATGTCCTTAATTCTTGTATTTATTTTCTTAAATGAAGATTAATTTTTTGGTTTATTAATACTGTTGGCAAAACCGACACTTTAATTTGAAATTTTGAGCTCATTTTGTTCCTCAAGCAAGATGGGTCGTTGCGATGGAACTGCCGTTGCCAAAGACAGTTTTCGTGACATCGTTATCCATCAAATTGGTTGGTTTTCTTAGGGCACCTAAGATGAGGTTGAGTAAAAGATTTGTATTATTTTAATCATCTTTTGAAAAGGGTTAATAGGAGGAAAATGTCTAAGAGAAAGCTTTTTGATGAATCAGTTAGGCAAATACCATCAACATTGTTTAAAAAGGTGCATTATGACGTGATATGGTGCAAGATGCGTCTCCGTCGTTACAAAATGTCTCAAAGCGTTTCTGTAAGGCGTGTCTCACGCCATGGCACGCCGTGGTGTGTGTTTTTTGTAATATGTGGTTTTTTTTTTTCTAATATTTGTGTTTTTACACTTTTTACTTTAGATTTTAAACTTTTATTGATCTAACCAATCACATCACTGATAGATTCACAAGTTTATAAACGTTATAAACTCACGGTTAGAATGAAATTGTAAAATTACCTTTTAAAGTTCTATTTTAAATATGTAATAAAAAACCTATTTTTATAAGTAATAATCTACATGATTTTTTTTCTTCTAATATGAATGTACATACTTTTTGATATCATTAATTATCTAATTAGATAATATATAGAAAACATATATCTCTATATATATATATATATATATATATATATATATATATGAGCGATCAAATGAAAACCACTCTAATTTATAAAAACCGTAAAAACTACTCTCATTCATCGATTTCATTGTTTAATCTTATGAAATTTTTTCATGAAATTGTTTAATCTTGTGAAATTGTTTCATATAATAAATTTTTGATAGAGTTGTTTCATATATGCTTATGAAATTGTTCCATATACTACTTCATGAAATTTTAATGAAACTGTTTCATGTATTTCTCTAAAATTAAAATAATGAAGATGATAATATCCATTATTAACATCCTTCACAATAAAAATGATTAATCAACCTCTCGTAATTACAAAAAAATGAACAAAATAAAAAATTATGATTGGTGGAATGAGGTTTTTACGGTTTTTACAAATTGAATGGTTTTCATTTGATTGCTCCATATATATATATATATATATATATATAAGGGCTGGTTCAAATATTAACCCAATTTTTTGTACTAACCATGCTAACCAACATCAACTAATCACATTTCATTTTTTAGTTTGGTTCAAATGTAACTCACATTTTAATGATAAGGGTATTTAGGTCATTTTTCATTCTTATGTAACTCCCAAATATTTTAAATGGGAGTTACAAATCTTAAAATTATACTAATTGATCTTCATTTATTAATGACATCAAGGTTCACAATTAAATTGCAAATATATTTTAAGTGGATATGAACAACCCACAAGCTCTATGAAGAAATGCATACCCACTAAAACAACCCAACACATTAAAGTATAATGTATGCACCCTTGTCTCAATTTTGAATGTGGTTTTTTGTCCTATATGTACACTTTCAGCCTGGAAATATGTAGACATATGAACCTGAGCATATGAACATATGCATATGGTTTGTAACTCCCAAATATCCTTATCTTTTAAATGGGAGTTACAAATCAAATAAAAATATACTAATTGATCATCATTTAATAATGACATCATGGTTCATAATTGTTCATCTTAATCATTTTTACATATGTTATATATAAAATGGTTTTGATAGTATAATATTGAATATCGTCTCTTTTGTCAAGATACCATTATAGTTCGAGTAATATGAATATTCATACAGTAAAACAGAGCGACGACAATAAAAACGAAAAAGCTAAAAGCGTTTGCGAATACATTCGGAATTCGAATTCCGAAAGTGAAGAAAATGATCAAACCATTCATATTGGTATGTGCTCAAATATCATTCTTTTTTCCGTTTAAATGAACAGCTGTTACCTTCGATAATTATCTGCTATTCTGGCTGCAATAACTGTTGTTGACATGTTGAACATCGTCCGTATATTTTGGTGTTTGATATGCCCGGGAAATTCATATGTTTTTCTGCTGCACACACGAACAAATCAAGGACGGTGGGATTTAACTCCAATTTTCAATGACACAAGTATAAATAATATAACTTATTCTTTCACTCTGTTTTTATATCATAAAGAATCAGACCTGTAATCATTTTATCGGGAAGTGCTGCGTGTGTGTCACCTAACCGGCCATGTTGTGATTGGGTCTGGGAGATATATAACTCATTTAAACAACTGTTGTTCATTTTACATATTTAAGACAACATGAACAGCTACTGTTCGTTACATAATAGTCTAAAATCAACATAAACAACAACTCATTTGAACATATTGATTCTGCATACAGTAAAACAAGATGAAGATATATGAATGAACAGCTACTTTCCATATATGTATGAACAAAATTTGAATCAATGTGATATCGGTCTTGTTCACACACACCGTATTACATTGCCGTAGTCGGTGGGATTTAACTCCAAAATTCAGGGACACAAGTATAATCAATATAAGTTCTATTTTAACTCTGTTTTTATGTCATACAAAACCAGACTCGTAATCGTTTTATCTGACAGTGTTGCGTGTGTGCCACTTATCCGCCCACATTGTGAATGTGTCTGGGAGGTAAATCACTTGTTTTACCAGATATTGTTTAGTATACAGATCAAATAGAACAATGAACACCTACTGTTCATTACGTAGTTTTAAAGGCGACATTGAACAACTAATGTTCATTAGATAGTCTAAAATCATCACCATCATCATCACCATCCTACACACTTCCAACTCGTTTGGGTTTCACATAGACCACCACTTTAAATATACTACTACTTTCAACATCTAATAGTACCAGATTCCTAAGTACGTGCATTATGTACTAGTACCAGATTCCATAATGAACAGCTACTGATATGAACACATAGCAACTGTCCCTTATGTTCATTATACCCCAGTTGTCGACAGCTATGAAAAGTGGTTACTAGTATTAGTTAAAATTGATCTAAGTCGAGGATTTTCGACTTGGCACATTTCTTCTCACTCTCCGTTGAAGGTCCAATCAATTGACGTTATTTTTCCCTGCATGCTCTAAATAGTTCCAAAAGATGACAGCCTAACAAAGCAAAACGAACCCGATATATCTCATACAGAGGTTGATGTGTAAGATGTATGCAGACTGTCACAAATACAACTTTTTCATGTAATAGCTAATATATGTAAGAGACAGGATACTTTAACTGTAAATATTTTTAATAGCTGAAAAAAAACATTCATATCTTATAAACGATGGAAATCCGTGATGTATAATATTTACGATTGTTCAACATTATGTTCACTCTATACATTGATATTCACTACCTACTGTGATTGTGTCATGGGGATGCAAACTTACTTGCCCACCAAAATTGAGATGGAACCTTGCATCACTGTTCTATTTTTTAATTCTCTAGTTTGTGTAATAACAACTTTAGTTTTCAAGACTAACTACGTCTTTACAAGCAGGTTTTGATGATCTCACCCCTCCACATACCGATTTTGAATATGATATTGGCGAGACCTCAGAAGGAAGCAAGTATTTTATCCCAAATGTGGATGACGCACTTAAGCCAAAGACGAATGCACAATATGCAACTTTAAACGATGCTGAAAAGATGTACAAAGATTACGCGGACAAGGCCGGATTTGATGTTCGTGTACATGCAAAAAAACAAACAAACACGGAAACATTCAAAATAGATGGTTTGTCTGTAGTAGAGAGGGTAACCCAAACGAAAGGCAATTTAATTCTTTGGATATTCAGCCCAGTGAGAGGAGATATCGCAATACGAACCTAAAACGTTGTGGTTGTAATGCATGTCTAAAAATCCACTTGACGAAAGATGGGGGTTGTTACGAGATATACGAGTTTGTTGAGGAACATAACCATGCGTTGTTCAATGATAACGATCGCCGTTTCTCTAGGAAAAATAGACAGATGAAGTATACGGATTTCAAGACGGTACTCAACAGCTCGAGTTACAAAGTCGGTGCAAGAAGGGCACATCGTATTCAAACGGCATTGAACGGGGGGTTTGAGCATACTCGAGTTTCAGAAATTGATTTCAAGAATTTTAAGAGGGATGCTGTTGCTTGTGTTGGGAACAAGGACGCAACGATGTTGATCAATAAACTATCAAATAGACGTGACGTTGTACTAGGTTATTTCTTCGAATACAAGTGTAATGAACATGAGTTGATCGCAATTTTTTGGGCAGATGAAGTTGCTAGGATTAACTACAAAGAATTTGGTGATGTCATATCATTTGACGGGACGTTTCGCACGAACAAGTAATATTCACAGTGCCATAGAGTTTTTAAAGATTATTACGCATTTATATGTAACGCC